AGGCCCGAAACGTCAGCCTTCCTGCTCCTCTGATGCCCTCTAACATTCAAAAGCAAATGGATCAACTTCTGAAAGTGTGGTAGATATGATTTGGGGAATAAATTCAAAATTATTTGGTCAAATCATGGATAATGGAATAAGCAAGTCGAGCTAAAATACCTTTCTTATACTTTAACTACAAATTGAGATTTTTTTCTAGCAACTTCAGGGTGAAAAATAAAATACGTATGTATTGTAAATCTAGCTCTTGTTCATCCTTCGTGGCATCTGCAAAAATCTTCAATTTGATCACTTTAGCATGAATTTTCTTTTTTTTTTTTTTACTGATAAGCAAGTTGAAACTGCTTTTAAAACTGAACCTAGCATTATGCCTTCATCCAGCTTGGAGCACCATTATATTGTATAATTTCTGAACCAGCCAGCCTTGTAACCAGTCAAGAAATTTTACTTTATGAACAGCACCCCCCAAGCCCACCCACCAAGATTAGCTTTATAAATATTTCTTTAATATTAGACTTTATAGCTGCCAAATGAGATGATAATTTTCAAATGCAGCACATTCCTAGAACTTCCAGCAAAAGGGCCATTTCTCGTTATGTACCAGTTGCCAAATGAATTTGTTTTAAGTGTCTAGTGATTAGGGGAAATGGAAATGTTATACTGAGGTGAAGTCGGAGTTGTTGTTCATGGTTCTAAAGTTTAGGTACATTGTCATGATCTGTGATATGTCTAATCCAGCAGTGTTTGATGTGGATGCTGCATGCAAAATGAAAAATATTTCCTGCAAAGTATAAACTTCAGAAGAATAATTACTGTTCAGAGCAAAGTACTGACCATAGCTTATTTCAAAATGTTTACATAATGTGCAGAGCTAGATTTCAAACTTTCCACAAGTTGTTAATTAGCACAAATAATCCTTTCCTTCTCAGTGTTTATTACAAGCTAAAATTTCAAAAGCATGGACCAGTAGCACTGCTCAGTTATTATTTCACCACCTTCATGCAGCAAAAAACAGCATTGGAAGTCTTGATTTTCTTCTGATAAAATTGTCCTATTTATGTTGAGAGAAACAGCTTTTGTTGTCTTCAGTAGAATTTAGTTTTTGACTTGCATCAAATAAGAAGGAATTGGGTTTGAGAAACACTGCACGTGAGCACATCATATTCTTGAAGTTCTTCCATCCCAGGTGCCTCTGAGACCTTGAGGGTCTTACTTTTCACCTGATCCACTCCCCACATGACATATGAATTCACTGTTTGAAATGCTTGCGATTGTAGTTTGTGTCCCACACAAATAACTGGTGACTTCATATTTATTAAACCCTTCAAATTTAACCAGATTTTTAAAAAATCCCAACTTAGCAAATGGGCTTCAGGCACTACTGCAACTTACCAGGTGGTTGAGCAAGATGCAGCTGGTTGACATGCAAAATCCTAGCTACGAGCCTGTAGCAGTTACTTATCTTTCAGATGTAAGAACATAAATGATGGCATGCTAGTGTAAAAGGAAATACTGGCCCACATAATATAGCTGAAACCAGCTTTTCTACAGGTTCTTAAAATGTGAAGAGGATCATTAAGTTGCAGGTCCTGTGTCTTCCATATTCTAAACTAAGACATTGCATTGTAGCTTTGGAGCCTTACCATAAAATTAGATATCTGAAATGATAGAAGTAATTTGTTGTCTGTGACACCCCTTGAGATGTGATAGATGACAGATGTGATAAGATGTTACGAATATGCTAATCCTTTTATATTATGTGACTGTACTAAATGTACTGAGAAAGTATATGTTGGAAAAGCAAATGGTAGGGTTGCCAACCTTCCCAGAATGGCTAGGAGTCCCCAGGAATCAATAATTAAACAAATGAATAGAAGTAGACAAAGTCCAATGTGAACTCAAATTCTGAATAGACTTATTTTGTTGCTTGCTGTTTAAATCAAACTATACAATGGTGCATTAAATATTTTGTTCATTTGTTTTGTTTCTTATTTAGATGAGAACGCAGGGCCCTATCCTAACTGCCAGCGGAAAAAATCCGGTTATGGAGCTAAATGAAAAGAGGAGAGGTTTGAAATATGAATTAATATCTGAAACTGGTGGTAGTCATGACAAACGCTTTGTAATGGAGGTATGTTAGAAATTAACAGTGCAAATATTTGTTTATACTGGTTTTTATTCTGGGTTAGCAGTGTCTAAGTATTTTAGAATTTAATGCATTTAGTTTTCCAATCTAATTTTAGAGACTGATGAGTCATTGCATATTGTTTTAAAAAATGTATTTAAAATAGTAAATGTCACTTGATTTTTTTGTTTAGCAATGCCTGTGAGCAGATCAGTGTATTGCTTTTGTTTATTGCAGCAGACAGTTGAATGTAATTGTGTCTGCCTTGTTTAAAAGATATCATATCAATGTTATCTCTCCATATGCTCGGGCTGGATTGCAGTATCCAAAGTTTACAAGTACACTTCTGGTTTGAAATTTCAATATTTACCTGATGTTTCATCCTATGTGCATTGGTTATGTTGTCTGAGCCAAATATTGCTGATCGATTACCTGTGCATAGAATCATAGAATACCTACAGTGTGGAAGCAGGCCAATAAGCCCATCGAGTTGACACCAACCCTCCAAACAACATCCCATCTGGACCCACCCACCTACCCTATCCCTGTAATCCTGCATTTCCCAAGGCTAATCCACCTTGCCTGCACATCCCTGGACACTATAGGTGCATTGGCCATGCTACGTTGTCCAAAGTTCACTTCTTTGGACTGTGGGAGGAAACTGGAGTACCTGGAGGAAACCCAAGCAGACACAAGGAGAACGTGCAAGCTCCACACAGTCGCCTTAGAGTGGAATCGAACCCGGATCCATGGCACTGTGAGACAGCAATCCCACTGAGCCACTGTACTGCCCAACTATACTTGTGCAATGACAACAGTTACAGAATCCGCTCTGTTGCATACTTCTGACTAGGAAAGGATTCATAGTATAAAGTTATGTGGATGGCTTAGTGGTATTATTGCTGGACAGTTAATCCAGAGACCCAGGATTGTTTCGGAGCTTGGAGTTTGAATCCTGCCATGGCGGATGGTGGACTTTGAATTGAACAAAAATAAAGTCTGAAATTAAGAGTCTGATGATGATGAATCCATTGTCAATTGTCACAAAAACCCATCTGGTTCACTAATGTCCCTTTTAAGGAAGGAAATCTGCCATCCTTAACTGGTCTGGCCTACATGTGACTCCAGACCCACAGCAATGTGGTTGACTCTGAACTGCCCTCTGGACAATTAGGGATGGGCAATGAATGCTGGCCTAGCCAGCAACGCCCTCATCCAATGCACAAAATTTTAAAAATTACACCGTGAGTTTAATGCCTTTTTTTGTTAATGCATGGTGGCAAGGAAGTATTTTCTGAAATGTCAATCAAAATTATTTTATTGTAATATGGAGGTTTATACATGAACCAAGTATCCGTGTTTTTTTAAAAGATAGATTTAACATGGTACAGCTTGACTGCTTGTGTCATTGATGCTCGTTATGGGCAGCAATTTTATTGGGCGAATGAACCCCATCATTTGTAATTTCCACTGAGGTCAGTTGCAAGGATGTCGCTTATTAACATCTTAAATTTGGCTATTTCCAATACCTTTGTGAAGTCACTTGTGTTTCTTGCCCTGCCACTTTCTTCATCTCCCCAGATTTGGTTGGGTGCTAAGTCATACATCTCAGTAAGGTCACCCCTCATTTTCCTGTGTTCCAAGGAGTAAACCCAATCCAGGCCAACCTCTCCCTGTTTGCCAGGACTTGTAGGCCTGAGTTACATTCTCGTAAATCATCTTTGTACACTTCCCAGTTTAACTATGCCTTTCCTATAATAGGCTAACCAAAGCTGTACACAATACTCCAAGTGCGGCCTTGCCAACGACTTATACAACTGTCACATAACGTCCCAACTTCTGTACTCAATGCCTCGACTGATGAAAGCCAGCATGCTAAATGCCTTCTTCACTACCCTGTCCACCTATGATGCCGCTTTCAACGAGCTACGTACTTGTACTCCTAGGTCCCTTTGTTCCACAACATTCCTCAGGACCTTAACATTTACTGTGTAAGTCCCACCTTGGTATGACTTTCCAAAGTGCATCACCTCACACTTATCTGTATTGAATTGCATTTGCCAGTCTTCAGCCCATTTTCCCCATCTGATCAAGATCTGTCTGTAATTTTTGATAACCTTCTTCGCTACCAATGATACCACCTAATTTTGTATCATCCCCAAACTTACTAATCATCCCTTGTACATTCGCATCCAGATTATTTATGTAAATAACAAAAAGCAAAGATTCCAGCACTGACCCCTGTGGCACATCACTAGTCACAGGCCTGCAGCCCGAGAAACAACCTTCAACCGTCATCCTGTGCTTCCTACTGTTGAGCCAATTTTGAATCCAATCAGCCAGCTATCCCTGGATCCCATGTGACCTAACTTTCATGACTAGCCTCCTGTGTGGGACCTTGTCAGAGGCCTTACTAAAGTCCATATGGACAACATCCACCGCCCTACCCTCAACCATCCTCTTGGTTACCTCTTCAAAAATCTCTAAAAGATTTGTCAGAAGTGACTTCCTGCACACAAATGCACGTTAGCTATCCCTAATCAGACCTTGACTATCCAAATGTTGGTTGATCCTGTGCCCCAGTATCCTCTCCAATAACTTGCCTACCACTGATGTCAGGCTCACTGGTCTGTAGTTCCCTGGCTTGTCTTTGCTACCTTTCTTAAACAATGGAACAATATTAGCCACTGTCCAGTCTTCTGGAACCTCACCAGTGGCTAAAGGTGAAGCAAAAATCTCTGCAAGGGCCTCTGCAATTTTTTCCCTGGCCTCCCACAACATCCGAGCATGGGCTTGATCAGGCCCAGGAGATTTATCCATTTATCCATCTTAATGTGCTTTAAGGCTGCTAACCCCTCTCCTCTAGTAATGTGTATGCAGTCCAAAACATCCCAACTTGTTTCACTTATTTCCTTTGCATCCATGATTCTCTCCTCAGTAAACACTGCAGAGAAATATTCATTAAAAATCTTACCCATCTCCTGTAGCTCCACATAGACGCCCAGGCTAATCTTTAAGAGGACCTACTCTCTCCCTTTTACCCTTAATATAGTTATAGAACTTCTTGGGATTATCTCTAACCTTATCTGTCAGACCCATCTCATACCGTCTTTTTGCTCTTCTGATTTCCCTCCTAAGTGTGTTCCTACACTTTTTATCTAGGGATTCACTTGAGCCCGATTTTTAGATTAAATCCAATGTATACCGCCGCCTTTTTCCTGACCAGAGCCTCAATGTGCCTCGTCAGCCAGGGATCCCTCAACCTCCCAGCTTTTCCCTTCAACCTAACAGGGACATACTGTCCCCGGACTCTTGATATCACACTTTTAAAAGCCTCCCATTTTCCAATTGTTCCTTTTCCTTCAAACAGTCTCACCCAGTCGAGCTTTGCTAAATCCTGCCTCATAGCCCTAAAATTGGCCCTGCTCCAGTTTAGCACCTTAACCTGTGAACCTGTCCTATATTTTTCCATAATTATGTTAAAACTAAGAGTTATGGGCACTGGACCCAAAGTGCTCTCTGACTAACTCTTCAGCCACTTGCCAGCCTCGTTTCCTACATGGAAGTCCAGTGTTGCACGTTCCCGAATAAAGCCCTCTACATGTCGATTTGGGAAACTTTCTTGGTCACATTTGACAAATTCCACCCCATCAGGGCCTTTTACACTCTGAGTGGCCCAGTCAATACAAGGGAAATTAAAATTGCCAACAAATACTACTCTATTATTCCTATAGGTATCTGCAATCTCTGTACAAATCTGCTCCTCTGGTATCCACTGGCTATTTGGGGGCCTTTAATACAGTCCCTTCATCTTTCTAAGTTCTAACAAAATGGCCTCATTTGAAGACCTCTTAAGAATATCCTGTCTGAGCACTGTTGTTATGTCCTTCCTTATCAAAAGAGCAACTCCCCCTCCTCGCTTTCTTGTACTTCTGTCATACCTGCAGCTTCTGTATCCTGGAACATTGAGCTGCCAGACCTGCCCTTCTCTCACCCATGTTTCTGTTATGGCTATAATATTCCATTGCCAAGAGCTGATCCATGCTCTGAGCTTGCAACAACTGTCCCCGAAGCCACCCACACCCAAAGGTTTCGTCACTTTTTGCAACTGGGCATCAACTCGTTGGTTAGCACTGTTGCCTCACAGCACCAGGGGTTACGGGGTTTGATTCCACCCTCGGGCGACTGTCTGTGCGGAGTTTGCACGTTCTCCCCATGTCTGTGTGGGTTTCTTCTGGGTGCTCCAGTTTCCTCCCACAGTCCAAGGATGTGCACGCTAGGTGGATTGGCCATGCTAAATTGCCCATAGTGTTCAGGGATGTGTAGATTAGATGGGTTATAGGGGGATGGGTCTCGGTGGGATCCTCTGAGGTTCAGTGTGGACTTGGGCCAAAGGGCCTGTTTCCACACTGTAGGGATTCTAAGTTCTAAAAAAGTTCTAAACCAAGCTCCTTTTACTGACTCTGCCCCTCAACTCACTGACCTGATGCCCTCCCTTTCATCTCTTTCTCCAAGAAGATTCCTATTTGTGGCAACTGACAAACCTGTCCTCACCTGATCTCCATCGAAGACAAGACCTTTTAAAGTTTTGGCAAAGATCTGTAGCTTGAGTTGCGGATGAGGTTGTTGACTGGCTTGTTTTTGTTCAGGATTTGTTCCGTATAAATCCTCGACTTCCACAGCAACCATCCCAATGTCCGCAAATGAAGCTGCATTAGGACATTATTTAAACGGGCCAGGACACACTGTAACACTCCAGAACTACACAGGGAAGAGGAGGACCACTTATACAAGATCCTCGCTTTAAACGGATATCCTCGCAACTTCATCCGCAGGTGCCTACAAAACAGACAATAACAGGAGGACACAGTACGCCCTAACACACTGGCCACACTGCCTACATCAAGAACATATAAGAACTGACAACAAGACTCCTAAGACCACTAGGAATCATGACGGCGCACAAGCCCACAGCCACTCTACGACAAACGCTTAAAAGGATTAAAGACCCCATTTCCACAACATGCAGAACGAACGTGGTTTACAAAATACCGTGCACCGACTACCACAAACATTACATCGGACAGACAGGAAGGAAACTAGCCATCAGAATACATGAACATCAACCAGCAGCAAAACGGCACGACAAATTCTCCTTAATATCGGTATATTCAGACAATGAAGGCCATCAGTTTAACTGGGACAAGGTAACCATAGTAGCCCAAGCCAAACATAGATACGCACGGAAATTCCTATAGGCATGGTTCTCCACCCATACTTCAATCAACAAATGTATAGAATTGGACCCCATATACAAACCCATACAGATCAAAACCGGAAATGACAGTACTCACCATAACGGACCAGACAGTATAAATCCCAAGCGGAGTAGAATAACATCGCTTCATCAGAAGCTCCACTGATGTCACCTAGCATGGTGATGAAATGTCTGAACAAAAACAAGCCAGCTCGGCGAGCAAGTCAACAACCTCAGATAAGACCATCTCTGATCACTTGCTGACATTGTTTATCATATGTATATCCTGTTCCAACCCCGCCCCCTTCTGGGTTTCTGCTAGATAAAAATGATTGTCACATCCAAGTCACTCCACTACATTTTCTGAATCCCAATATTTGATACTCTGTTCATTATAATGCTCCTGCACTTGTCAGTCTGCTAGACCACTCCCTCATAATTTAAACTTTGTTTTCCATCCCCCTCTAATGTATTTACTATCTCCAAAATCCATTTGAGCCCCAAGAACGGACTTCATCTTTGCTCCCTCAAATATAAGAAGCGCAATCTTGTATATCTGCGGTGGAAACTGGTTTAGCAACATCAGCACTCCTGGCTGAATAATTTTGTATGCTGTTAGGTTTCATTCTCCTCTAGCACAATTACACTTTGCTGTCTAGAATTATTGTGGAGTAAAGACTACCACAGATTTCTCTTCTCCACCACTAACCCTGTCTTAAAACCCTACCTGCCTAGTACCTCCAAGAAGAATTTGCTGCAATACTGGGATCATCTGTTCCATTCTCTCTGCTATTTCCATCCTTTTCCTTTTGTCCATAAAGCGAATTTGGCTCCACTCCCCAAGTGCCTTCGTCAAGTTCCTCTTAACCATAAAAACTACTGACGTTGCAAACTAGCTAACTCAGTGCCAAGACCAAGTCTTGGGGTGAACAGATTCTTCCTACCACAATAGTACAGAGTCACTTTGCAATATCCAAAGGAGTTGCTTGCTCTGCCTATTGGCTTGCAAGACAGGAACATCCATCTGAGGACCAGGAGCATCACAAAGTACACTATTTATTTTCAGCTTAGTGCCCAAATCAAAACAAACATGGTACGAAGCAAAAGTTGAATTGAACTGACGATTTTTTTGTTTCCTCTACACAGTTGAAATGTACCTAGTTATCTCGACTGAAAACACCGAGTATGAGGGCCAAGGCTCATTACTAGAGTATTCTGAAACATAGAAGCTAAAATACTTTAAAATCTTTAACACATGGTTTTAAAAAAAACTTTCTTATATGTACAACTTACAGAAAGATTATCATTTGATCTCCGTAAGCTTAAATAAAGAAATTTTTAATATTAAAACTCCTTTAATTGGCTGTATGATGCAATTGTTGGACTTGCATATGTTTATTATTCTAAATCCAGTTTTTGTATATATGCATACTTGTACTGATTTTTTTTTTCAAGAAATTGAACAAATTTGAGCGTGGTTTTGGTTTTGACTGAAGTGATTTGTAAATAAAGTAATTCTTATTACAGACATGAATAAATATTGCTATTGATTCATTTGATGCCTTAAGTACATTACACACCCTTGGCAGCAATTGCAGTTCAGGCTACAGACAATTTACCATAATGAGTTAGAGATATGAGCCAATAGTAATTTGTTTTCCATAAGTATCTAATAGTTTTTTACAGGATCTAGAACCTAGAACAGCACAGCAAAGGAACAGGCCCTTTAGCCCACCATATTTCTGCTGACTATGATGCCATTGTAAATTAATCCCAATCTACTTGCACGTGGTCCATACTGTTGATGTGTCTGCCTAAATGCCTTTGAAACTTTGCTAACATATCTGCTTCTACCTCCTACCTTGCATTCTAGGCACTTAACGCTCTGTGTAAACAAAAAACTTGCCTTGTACATCTCCTTCAAACTTTCCCCTTCTCACCTTAAACCTGCGCCCTCTAGTATTTGACATTTCCACCCTGGGAAAAAGATGCCAACTACCCACCCTATCGATGCCTCCGTATAATTTTACATATTTCTTATCAGGTCACCCCTCAGCAGCTGCCACTGTAGTGTAAACAATCCAAATTTGTCCAACTTCTCCTTTTTATAGCTCATACACTCCAACCCAGGCAACATCCTGCTAACCCTCTTTTATACGTTCTGCAAAGCCACCACATTCTTCCTATAGCGTGTGACCGGAACTGCACACAATACTCCAAGTTTGGCCTAAGAAACTATAACATGACTCACCAACTTTTATGTTCAATGCTCCAACGAATGAAGGCAAGCAGTCTGTATGCAACCTTTACCACTTTATCTACGTGTGTTGCCACTTTCAGAGAGTTATGGACTTGCACCCCAAAATTCTACTGTATATCAGTACTCCTGTTTACTGCCATCTAATTAATAATTCTCATTTTCTCTGTAGGTGGAAGTAGATGGTCAGAAGTTCAAGGGAGCAGGTCCTAATAAGAAAGTCGCAAAAGCCAGTGCTGCTTTAGCAGCCCTTGAAAGATTGTTTTCTGGTCCAAGTGCTGCAAACAACAAGAAAAAGAGAACGGTTCCTCCGGTAAAGTTTCTGTTATTTACTTGCTGCTTCTTCAGTATTTAGCAATGTGAGTTAAGTTAATGTTTGATCACACATAACATGCAAACAGTTTTTAATTCAAAGCATCAAGAAATATATTTACCTGTCCAAAAGTCATATAGTTATATATGCTTGAAGTAATTTTTCTGCAATTTTATCAATTTCTACATCATTTCTATATAACTTTCTTAAGTTCTGCAAATGTGCTTTAAACTCTGCAAGTGGAATGTGTGTTATTTAACTAGCCCATTATGGATTGATTCCCTCAAAAGCTGAAATTATGCTGCTTTGATTATTTTTTAATAGATACATTAATCTGAATGAAATTTAATTTAAGCATTTTGTGTTTTATTTTGTGAAGGCTAAGGGTCCAATTCCTACTCCAGCAGCTGCAGTCCAGACTCTCAGAGGCAGAGGCAGAGGGGCCTTGAGCAGAGGAGCATTTGCTGGAGCAGCAGTAACAGCTGCTCCAGGATATCTAACACCAGGTGTGGAATGTTGCAAAATAGCAGTTTTTTTTTTAAAGTTGCAAATTATTTTCTTTTGTTCATGGGATGTTGGTGCAACTGGCTAGCCAACATTTATTGCTCATCTCTAATTGCCATAGAGAAGATGGTGGTAAGCTATCTGCAATCCTGGAGCTGCAGGATTTTGAATGCACAAAGTGAAGGAACAGCAATACAGTTCCAAGTCACAATGTTGTCTGGCTTGGAGGGGAACTTCAGCTAGTGCTGCCATGCATCTACTACCTGGAAGGTTTTGATCTTCTTGATTGCTGATGCACCTGAATCTATCCAGACAAATGCATATTCTATCACATTCTTGACTTGAGCCTTGTAGATAGTGGGCAGGCATGAATGAGTCAGGATGTGAGTTGCTTGCCACTGAGCTCCTGGTCTGTGACCTGCTGTTGTAGCCACAGTAATTATTTGGCTTATCCAGTTCACTTTCTAGCAATGGTAGTCCTCAGGATGTTGATGGGAGAGGATTGAGCTATGGTAATGTCATTGAGTTTCATGTGTTGATGGCCAGATTCTCTCTCGTTGATGATGGTCATTGCCTGACCCTTGTATAGTTAATTGTCACTTATCAGCCCAAATTTAGATGTAGTTTGAAGCCTTGCTACATGTGGCCACAGCCTGGTTCAGGATCTGAAGTCACAAATGATGCTGACCATTACGTGATCATCAGTCAACATCCCTGCACTTCTGACCTTATGATAGTGGGAATGTCATTGAAGCAGCTGAAGATAGTTAGGGTCTAGGACACTACCTTGAGAACTGGGGTTCTTGTGGCACACTGCTAATGTCCCTACTTCTGAGCCAGGAAGCCTCGGTTCAAGTCCAAGCTGCTTCAGTGTTGTGTAATAACATCTCTTAACAGGTTGATTTAGAAAATTTCTACCCAAGAACTCGTGTGGTGTTGTCCTTGGACTGAAATAATTGACCCCCAACACCCACAACCATCTTCCTTAGCGCTAGGTATGATTCCAACCAGTGGAGAGCCTTCCCCAACTAATCCCATTGACTCTAGTTTTGCCAGAGCTCTTCAAGGCAGACTCTTGCCAAATTCTGCCTTGATGTCAAGAGCAGTCATTCTAAGCTCACCTCTGAAGTTTTAGCTCTTCTGTCCATGTTTGGAAAAACTCTGTAATTAAGGTGAGGAACTGAGTGGCCACAGCAGACCCCAAACTAAGCACTAGTGAGTAGCCATCACATCCTGTCATGAATGGCAATGAAAATAACTAGGAGGACAGGGGTCCACAAATATCCCCCATCCTCAACAACAGGAGAACCAAGCACATCAGTACAGAAGATTAACTTAAAGCATTTGCATTAAGGAGCCCTAGCAAAACTGGAATGAATGGATATTGGGGACAAACTCTCTGCTGGTTGGAGTCATATCTGGCATACAAGATGGTTGTGTCTGCTGGAGGTCAGTCATCTTGGCTCCAGGGCATCTCTGCAGGAGTTCCTCAGGGTAGTGTCCTAGGCCCAACCATCTTCAGCTGCTTCAATGGCCTTCCCTCCATCATGAGGTCAGAAGTGAGAATGTTCGCCCATGATTGCACAACGTTAAGCACCATTTGTTCAGATACTGAAGCAGTCTATTTTCAAATCCAGCAGAATCTGGATAATATCCAGGCTTGGACTGACAAATGGCAAAATAACATTCACAGCACAGAAATGCCAAGCAATGACCATTCTCACTTCTGACCTTATGATGGAGGGAAGGCCATTGAAGCAGCTGAAGATGGTTGGGCCCAGGACACTATCCTGAGGAACTCCTGCAGAGATATCCTGGAGCCAAGATGACTGACCTCCAGCAGACACAACCATTGGTATGCCAGGTATGACTCCAACCAGCAGAGAGTTTGTCCCCAATATCCATTCATTCCAGTTTTGCTAGGGCTACTTGATACAAATGCTTTAAGTTAATCTTCTGTACTGATGTGCTTGGTTCTCCTGTTGTTGAGGACGGGGGATATTTGTGGACCCCTGTCCTCCTCGTTATTTTCATTGCCATTCATGACAGGATTGGCAGAATTTTAGATCTGATCACTTTGTGGGATTGCTTAGCTGTGTCTCCCCCATGCTGCTTTGGCTGTTTGGCATGCAAGTGGTGCTGTGTTTTAGCTTCACCAGGTTGACACCTCGTTTTTAAGTATATCTGTTAAATGGTCCTGGCATGTCCTCCTGCGCTCTTCATTGAACTAGAATTGATTGCTGGCTGAATGGTAATGGTAAGAGGTTATATGCCAGGCCAAGAGATTGCAGATGGTGCGTGAATGTCATTGTTGTTTCTATTGATGGCCCACTGCACCTCGTGGATGCCCAGTTGCTGGATCTTTGAAGTTACTGAGAATAGTAATATTTACAATAGAAGTGTCAGTTTCTATATTCGTTTACCTTGTGGGTATCGCTGGAGTAGTGCAAAAGTTAGGTTAGCTCTTTTCATATTATGCAGACAGTTACAAAACAAGTCACATCCCAAGTTATCAGATTAGTAGTAATAGATTCATAACTGATTCTGTTAATTTTGTTTACCAGTGAGAAAATAAATGAAGAAACCATATTTTAAAATGATTGTTGAAAATTCATAACTTGAAAAAATCACAATGTGGAAAGATGAATTTGAGAGATGGTACATATTTTCTAGTCAACCTGTTTAGAGATGGAACAGGTTGGCCTCCTGGCTCGAGGCAAGGACTCTGTCACTGCACCATAAGAGCCCTTGAAATCATGAGCCAGTCAACCCATCGCTATCGTATTCTGGATACCTGGCAGGATTCAAACCTCAAGTGTGGAGCCATACTTCTAATTTGACAATCGTTTTGTAACATAGAACTGTCAGAGGAAGGCAAGCCATGTCCCCTTCTCACAGCACCAGCTGCTGTATTCTGAAAATTAAAGCTCCAGATAACCACTAACAGCTGCTGTCAAGCCCTAAGTACATAAAATAACTGTGATGTTACGTTGCTCGGAAGGAAGGATGCCAGGTGTGTGTTTTTCTCTTGGGTGGGGGCGAGAGGCAGGGAAGCAGAAATGGTACGTTGCCAAGTAAGCAGGATGCCAGTCCAGGAGAGGGTATGGCAGTAGAGGTAGGATGCCAGCTGGGAAGGGGATAGGGTGTGAGCTGAGTAAAGAGTGGAGTACCAGGTGGTTAGGTAAGTGATGCAGTATTTGAGGTACGTTGGGGTGGGTGGGAGAAATTAGGTCCGAGGATGTCAGGTCTGGCTGTGGTGTTTGGAACTGGGGCGGGGGGAGTAAGTGGGAATATGGATTGGGAGGCCAGATCACATCTGGTTTGTAGGGAATCTGGTTGTGTCTGGAGTTGAGGGTGTATATCAGGTTAGGGCTGGGGGTGATGGGTGTTGGATCCAACTTCAATGGAGACTGAAGGTTTTAGATGTAGAGGGATTATCCAGAGGAAATTCAACCTCCCGGGCAGTTCCTTCAATGGGAGGTACAATGGGGATTCTCCAGGGTCTCCGTACTGAACTCCTAGTTATGCTGGCATAACAGCTGTCAGGCCAGTGGAAAACCTGGGCGTGTAAAAAGACATCTTAAAGCTGAGCAAAAGTCTGAAATGCCAAGCAGGTTTAGTTGAAGCTGTTGGTCTCTTAGTACAGTGTCAGAGTCATCGGATGTAGGTGGGCATGGCAGCAAACTGGCTGAGCACATATTTGTCGACTCTGAATTCACAGGCATTCACTGCTGGTTGCTTGATCCTTTCCACTCTTCGCTTGGCCTAACTATGGCAAAGATTAACCAACAAAATTTTGTTTAACCATTTAGGAAAAGTAACAGTTGTTTATCTGTGTCAAAGTTAATTTATTTGGGTGCCCAAGGTGAATAAATGTCCAGTGATTATTCAGCATTCTCTTCCAGCTTATTATTTTTCAATCATTTTGTGCCAGTAACAGGAGATATACCTTATTTGTTCATAACTTGGAAACAATAGCCAATGCAGAACTCCAGGAACAGCACATTCATTGCTGGTGGGCTGTAATGTTCTATTTTTACAATTTTACAATTTTATATTTACATGGGTCCCAGGGTTACATGATGTAAACTAATCTATGGCAAATCAGTTAAATGGTTTATTTTTCCAGTGATTATAGCTTCAAGCTGCACTGCCAATGATTATGTGTAGTAATCAAGGGAGCTACCATCTGGAGGTCAGGCATTTCTGTACAGGGAAGGGAGAAAAGGGCAATTGACATGTGGCTCAGAGTGTCATTTTCACATTCCTAGCAACTGGATTGAGAATTGTATTTAGAATCAAATTTGTTGCTGATTACTTTGTTCATGGGAAAGTCTGCTTTCAGTTATATAACAAGTTGTGCAGGGCCTTTTGAGATTTTTGGCAACTAACTTCAATGAATATTTTTTATATTCATTCACGTGATGTGGGTATTGTTGGCTAGGCCAGCATTGATTTCCCATCTCTAATAGCCAGTGGGCACTTAAGGGTTAACCACATTGCTGTTGGCCTGGAGTCTCATGTAGGTCAGACCAGGTAAGGATAGCGAATTTCCTGGAGTTCTAGATTACTCGTCTAGAGACATCACCATTACATTGCTACCACCACATTAAATGCATGCTAATCCAAAAATACTATACATAGCTATTTAGAAGTCCCTTATTATTTTTAGTGAGTTAGTTGCTAGATTGATGAAATTATACATTGGATGTTAAGACCCCCATAACACGCAACTGTCCTCATAATGTCTTTCACTTTTTCCATATTCCAGTTTAGTGCTTCGAGTTCTACTGACAATTGTAATTCTTGCTAGAATGTTGTTCCATAGGTATGTCACTGAGTTGGGCGTTAATTCTGAGAATTTGAAGAGAATATTTGTAGATAATTTATATGCTGTGGTATCATCACCTATATTTCACTACTCTCATGTTTTGGTTCATCCCTTGCTAAATTGGCGAAGTGACCAGGGTGGGAGAAAAACTCTATTGGTTGACTTCAGCTAACCTGGCTCAAAGAATCAACTTTCTGCTATCCCAAGTCAGTGTAAAGTTTTATGTATATTTTACACACACACATTAGCCACATTTTGGACCAAACGAGTCTCATCTCAGAATCAGAAAAAAAGACGATTTCAGTCCCTTCCAAGAGTTGAGGATAAAAGTCAAGGTTGAAGTTCTAGTTACAGAGTCATGGAGCTCTACAGCATGGAAACAGACCACTTGGTCCAACTCATCCATACCGACCAAATATCTTAAATTAATCTAATCCCGTTTGCCAGCATTTGGCCCATATCCTCTTAAACCCTTCCTATACAGATACCCATCCAGATGCCTTGTAAATGTTGTGATTGTACCAGCTTCCACCACTTCCTCTGGCAGCTTATTTCACACACGCACCACCCTCTATGAAAAAGTTACCCCTTGTGTCCCTTTTAAATCTTTCCCCTCTCAACCTTCAATCTATGCCCTCTAGTTTTGGACTCCACTACCCTGGTGAAAAGGCCTTGGCTATTCACCCCATCCATGCCCCTTAAGGTTTTAAAAACTTATGTAAGGTCACCCCTCCACCTCCAATGCTCTAGGGAAAATAGCCCCAGCCTATTCAGCCTACCCTTTAGCTCAAACCCTCGACTCTTGCAACATCCTTGTAAATCTTTTCTAAACCCTTTCAAGTTTCACAACATCCTTCCTATAGCTGGGAGACCAGAATTAAATGCAGTATTCCAAAAGCGATCTAAACCAATGTCTTGTACAGCTGCAACATGGCCTCCCAACTCCTATACTCGATGCAGTCATCAATAAAGGCAAGCATACCAAATGTTGCCTTCACTACCCTGTCTACCTGTGACTCTACTTTCAAGGAACTATGAACCAGCACTCCAAGGTCTCTTTGTTCAGCAGCACTCCCCAGGACCTTACCACTAAGACAAAGATGCAGTCTTTCTGATGAGATATTAAAGCAAGGATCTGAGTGTTCCCTCATTAATACAAAATATCCCATGACACTATTTTTAGAAGAGCAAGGAATTTATCCCAGTGTTTTAGTCAATATTTAACCCACACTCAACCTCTTTAGAATAGGTTATGTGCTTGTGAATCGATTGCTGCGTTTCATATATCAGAAGTAATTCTTTGGCAGTGAAGCACTTTTTGGGTGACCAATGGTTATGAAAGTTGCTACATAATTAACTTTTTCACTTTTTGACATTTCTTGTTATCCTTCAAATTTAGACACTGAACTTAAGAAGAATGGTCAAAAAAATTGTCAAAGTATGGATTTTAAGAAAAAGAGGGCTATGTCTGCTCAGGCTGAGTTAAAAAGAATGCTGAGATTGCACATATCTAGTTCAGGCTGAGATAGTGGCATAAGTACAACTGAATGGCAGTAGTAATGTTCTTTTACCATCCTATCCCAGGGCAGGTTCCAGCCTATCCCTCCATTAAGATAAATGGAGAAATCCTTCTAAGTGTGCACCTATTCCCCTGCCTGGGAAGTCACCTGTCATCCAAGACTGATATTGATGTGGAAATTCAATGTTGCATCTAATTTGCAGGCACCACCTTGGATGCTTAAGGATGAGAGTCTTTGACCATGACGTCTGTACTGATATCAAGATCTTTTTGTATTAGACATTTGTCTTTCAGATTCTTCTATAAGGCTTTGAAACTTGGACTATGTTTAGATGCCACATCAAGGCTCTGGAGAAGCACCATCAGTACTGTTTGAGACTGGTTTCTGCGTTAGCTGGGAGAACAGGCATAGTAAAGCAACCTCTTTGAAGGAGCCAGTAGCACCAGTATTGAGGCTGAAATCTTTGTCCAGTTCAAGGAAGGCACTCAAACGAGAAGACCAAGAAAGCACTTCAAAGACTCCCTGAAGACTTATCTCAAGGAATGTGACATAGAATATAGACATCAATGTCTGGATGAACCTTGCTCAGAAGAAACTGACTTGGAAAAACCTCCTGTATGAAGGGACACAGCTCTGCAAGAACTCCGTAAGAAAGAGAAAGTGTGTTAAAGGAACCAGAGAAAAAAATGCCAGCAATCTTGAGGTCAAGGACCAATTCCACTTGTCAGAAGCACCTGCCTACCATGTGTGCGGGGATCTGGCTCTAGAATCAGGCTGATCAGTCAAGCAAGGACCCACAGAACCCATGACCAGTAACATGAATTTCCAAGGTGGACAGAAATACTCATTAACGGGTGATTGCTCATGATGATTGTAGAAATGATGTATATCTTTCTGGCAGGAATTGAAGAAACTGGCTTTCACCTTCACAATGTTTACTTGGAGGAAATTGCAACTTATCCAGGACCATATTTAAGTGATCTGATAACATCACAGGAGAAGCACAATTAAAAGCACGAGACATGGATCTCATTGTACTGGTGTCTCCAGATGGTGTCATTTGAGCGGCAGCGTTTGAGTGAGGAGATTCTTAAAGGCTTTCAGAAGTATGATGTAGACCATTCAGCCCATCAAGCCTGCTCCTTCATTCAGTGAGATCATGTCTGATCTAATGACCTTCAAATACACTTTGCTGCCTTTTCCCCACAACCTCTGATTCCCTTATTGATGAAAAATCAGTCTGCCTCAGTCTTGAATATACTTGGCCTGTCCACAAGGTCCCTTACCAACTTCTACAGATGCACCACTGAAAGCATGCTGTCCGGGTGCATAATGGCCTGGTAAGGCAGCTGCTCTGCCCAGGACCGTAAGAAGCTACAGAAGGTTGTGTGAACAGCCCAGACCGTCACAGAGGCCAATGTTCCATTCATGGACTCCATTTACATAGCCCGTTGCTGCAGAAAGGCTGCCAACATCATCAAAGACCCATTGCACCCTGGCAATGCTCTCCTACAACCTGAAAGGACTCTCTAACTTGAAATAATGCTGATGTTGCTAATGCTGATCTTGCCTAGCACACACCCTGTGCGATGTAACTTGTATGGTTCTGTCTAGTGTTTTTTTTTCACCCTATGATCTGTACGTCCTTGCTTACTATGATCTGCCTATACTGCTCGTAAACAAAGCTTTTCATTGTACTCTGGTACAAGCGACGACAAATCAAAAAATCAAAATAGAGAGCTGGAGGAACACAGCAGGCCAGGCACCATCAGAGGAACAGGAAGGCTGACATTTCAGTCGGGACCCTTCTTCAGAAGTGGGGAGGGGAGCTCAGAAATAGAGAAAGAGAGAGGAGGGGTGGGTTTGGAGAAGGTAGGTGGGATGGTGATAGGTGAATGCAGGTAGGCAGTGGTGGGGATTGGTCAGTGAGGTGGGAGTGACTGGTAGCTGGGAGAAGGAGGACAGGTCATGTCAGGTCAAGGAGATGGGGATGAGAGGGAGGGTTGGTCATGGGATGAGAGAGGCTGGGGGTGGGGAGATTTTGAAACTGGTAAAATCCACGTTCAGGCCATCAGGCTGTAGGCTCCCAAGGCATTGGAGGAGCAGTACCTCATAATCCGCCTCGGGTGCTTACAGCGTGATGGCCTGAATGTGGATTTTACCAGTTTCAAAATCTCCCCACCCCCAGCCTCCCTCATCCCATGACCAACCCTCCCTCTCATCCCCGTCTCTTTGACCTGACATGACCTGTCCTTCTTCTCCCAGCTATCTGCCACTCCCATCTCACTGATCAATCCCCACCACTGCCTACCTGCACTCACCTATCACCATCCCACCTACCTTCCCCAGCCCCATCCCTCCTCTTTCTACTTATTTCTGAGCTCAGCTCCCCTCCCCCTCCACATTTCTGAAGAAGGGTCCCAGCCGAAACATCAGTTTTCCTGTTCCTCTGACGCTGCCTGCCTGCTGTGTTCCTCCAGCTCCACACTGCGTTATCTCTGACTCCAGCATCTGCAGTTCTTGCTATCTCATTCAATAAATCAATCAATAATGACCCCACCTCAGTAGTTCTCTGTGGTAAAGAATTCCACAAACTAACATTCCAATTTAAGCCATTGCTAGAGATGCTCTGGCTATAATGAGAAGATAACAATGAAATCAGATGAGGGTAGTCCCACTGGTATATTGAAGAGATGGTGTGAAGATGCACATAGCTTTTGAATAATAATTAGGAAAAAAAATAATTTTAATTGTGGAAATAATCAAGTTTTAATTATTCCATTTTACCTATGGTTTTAATATTATTACTTGCTCTTAGTGATGAAGGCTTTACTTTAGTTTTTGATTTTATTGTAGACATTCTAGAAAACATATGTATCCTTTTTAAGAAGAAAAAGCAGTGCATTAGAATTGATTTGGTAACTATTCTAGTGGCTAGTTTTAACGTAATTTTTGACAAATGTTTGAAAATGGGTAAATATAGTTAACGGTCAAGCCACAAGCATGTGGATCCACAATATAGTAAACTAAGAGCATGAAGTAGATTACTGAATAAAATTACTTTTATTACATTGGGTATTTTTACTGACATAATACATTAGTACTAAAATGGGAAAGTAACATTGATTTCTTTTCATCTTTAGGTTATGGGGCACCATATGGATACAGTGCTGCTGCCCCAGCTTACGGTATGTATGACAACTCCGTCGATTATGACTTTAAGATGACAATCATTTCCTTAGTGCCTTAATCTGGAACATATATATCTCTGCACTATGGAGATATATATGTATGTGTGAATATTGACAACCCATCGAGTACTGAAAACACTCTCTTTCCTGATTTTTTTTTGCTGATGCTACCTCTGTGCATTCAATACACAGTGAAAAATTTCAGATTTCAATTTTGTATGTTTATAAATTAGCATTCTAGAGAACAAAGAACATATTATGAACTTGGAAAATTGAATTTTTTTTCAAAAATTCATTTGCCTTAAGTACTCTAAGGGTTCAGTGTTGCATTTTATTAAAACATAAGGCGTTGTTTTTAAATTGTTTTAAACTAGTTCATTTTGGTCTAGAAGTTTGTACAAAAGCAGTCCATTTGTCTTTGACACAACTTTATACGCAGTGGAAGAAATCGGCATTACCTTGTGTTTATTCTTACGGTCGGAACTCTTCTTGCAAAGAAAAATCATATTGTAAAGGGACTGCTTATAAACTGCTTGTCCCCTTCCATGCCAAGTTGTATATTTTATTAAATGTCCCAATGCTTACAGCCATTAGATGCTCTATTCAAAGCATACTGCACTGCCAGACAAATTGGCAAGTATACTGGTACAGTTACCCTTTTCTGTAGCTCTAAGCGGGCATAATTCATTTTAAAGTTGTAAATGTAAAACGAATCATAATTAGTTGATAACTTACAGCATTCATATAAAAAAAATTGTAGTGCTGCTAAATGATACGCCAGCATTCATATTTATCTAAACTTTTGACTAATGATTGCAATTCAAAAAGGGTTTAGAACGTGAATGTAAGGGCAAGCTTCATATTGTAACTCACACGTTAAATTGATGAGTATCAAGATGGAAGAATGTCAACATTTCTGCCCATCTGATTGTTTCTCTGACAGCTTGCTTATTCTTGACAGCTGAAGAGCTTAGTGAAATGGCTGGCATTTTGGTCAATAGCAGGACTGTGAAAAATATTTCATTTTGTTAACAATTTTGTCTGTGACCAAAATGAGTCTCCCCAGCTGTTAAACTTTTTGATTTGTTCCTAATTTTCCCAATTTTTCTTTCAAATTTTCAAAATAAATTTGACTGTTATCTGATTTAATTAGGTTGAGGCTATAAAAGGGTAGAATTTAAACATGATTTAAATCTGCAAACTTGAAACTACTTGAAGTAAAAAAAACAGAACTGGTCTTCTCACTTAGTAAAATAAAGATTTTAAAGATGTGCTAATGTAACAAAAAAGTACAATTTTAAAATTGAGGCAATATTGTTATAAAGCAGAGGTTGACCCCACCCCCTGTCAGAACTAAAACTGAAAAGCCCAATGAGGAGCACCTTGCCCTATAATCTATAAAGGGAGTGTGAAAAGTGGTGTAACCTGCGTTTCAGCAAATTCTAAATAGAATAAATCCCTGACACTCACTTTAAAATCGGCAAGTAACAATTTATTTATCGAGCTCTAACTGTGAACAAATTATCTAAACTGTTAACAAACCGAATAAATCCCCTCTAGCTACTAGCTATTCCTGAATAAAACAAGATTCTAATGGTATGCTGTTCCAATAAATACAAGTCCCACTTATATAAAATTAAAAATAGAATTTAGTCTCTTGAAATTACAGCCAGTTTGTGTCTTCTGGAATGCTCTGTGCCTTCTCTGTCGATTTTTTTTTTTTTATTTTTTTATTTTTTATTTTTTTATTTTTTTTTTTTTTTCTTCTGTCATTACTATTAACTAGATGTGCCTTGGGTACCTTTTGTTATTTAGCGGGTGCTTTCTGTAAAACTTAGAGACCGAGAGCCAGCGATTTTTCTCTTGAGAGCTGAGGGCTGTTAGCTTTCTGATCTTTGTGCAACTGTCCTCTTCTTTTATGCCCGAAATGACACAGGACCAACCTTATTGTAAGAAATATTGCTATGTTGTCAAAACCATCAGATTTAAATTTAATTGGTTTTTGGTATCTTAAGTGCCTGGTTCAAATTGATTGACTAAATTCAAAATTTGATAAAAATTGCTGCTTAGCCTGCTAACTGTATGGCCTTTTGATACAAATGTTTCAATTTGGTTGCTCTCTGTGTACTTGAAAACTTCAAAGCTGCTGCTCACAGACATCCATTTTAAATCCCTAAGCTCAGAAAAAGCACATCATCTGTTAAAGGGACCATGCAATGCTTTCCCCCCACTGCATTTTACAAACACCAAATTCTAACTTCCTGCCTCCCAAATCACAAGTAGTCTACCCAACTTCACAACAAATGGAACAATCAATAATTATTTTGAAGTAGACTTTCAAAGATATTCAAGCCATTGATCCCACCACACTTTATTGTAGCAGGTAAATGCTTAGTACTGGGAGGAATAATAATAAACTCCAGCTTTTACCAATCTTTTGATTGTTTTCACTTTTTTTTGTACTGTAGTACATATTTATTTCTAATGTTGCAACAGTACATACAGGTTTCCATAACTTACTAAAATAAGCTTGATTTAATCACATAAACTGGCACTGTGCTGTTGCTTTGAATGAGTCGTATGTGCAAATGATGACAAGCAAGTGTAAGATTTATTTGGAGCCTGAGTTGGGCTGCACATGCGAGCAGTTTAAGTATCATGATAGTTCCAAATATAAATCTGCAAAGTTTGCTAGGACAGTCACAGCTGGCATGCATCTGAAATAACTTACCTGCTATATTTCTAAAATCAATCCAGAAAACTGCAGTTCTTTTTCTGTCAGTTCAGCATGCAGCAATGTTCAACGCAGTCCAAATTAATGTTATTTCTCAGAAAGAGATGATTGTCATCATTTCTCATATAAAGACCCTGTGTTTCTCCAGTGTCTAGATGTGATGCAAAACAACATTTGACACGGCTGTTTCCTTGGCTGTAGGTTGAAAGTGTCTTAATGCCTTTGTAAGCTGTTGCATGTTGGGAAATTTGCACTTCAGTCATCTGGTGCTGTTAAAACACCTACTGTTGCTGCTTTGTGATTTCTAATGATGATTAAAATTGAGAATAAGAAATCTGTCTAGATATATAGAATTCTGTGAGGCCACAAGAACTTAGTATTCAACCAAATAACATTAATTAACAACCCATTGATCTTTCCAGATATGCTTTTCAAATGAAATGCAAAATAATGTTTCTGTGGATGGCATCTGATTTAGATTCAGATTTTCTGAAATCTAGGTAGTATAGTTTATTTGAAGTGGTTGCTGAAGAAATATCGTGTAAATCTATTGAGAGTTTGTCATCCAGATGTGCTAGAGATTACTTTTGTAAAGTGATCTAGAGTTATAACTTCATGCAGACACTCTGTGATCAAGATAGAGCTTGGAGTGCCAAGTCCATCTCCATTGTCAAGCAATTTATACACACATCTAGTTGAAATTATTTTCTCCTGTGTTACATGTTCCAGCACGTAAGTTTCCTGCTCCAAATATTGCTGATTACAAAATCTGGTAAAATACTCTTTTAAAAGATAGGAGTGCTCTATTTCATGGAATGGATACTTAATAATGAGAAAATGAGAGTTGTCCCAATTGGGAAAGAGGGAATATTGTGCAAGCATGATAAGGTTGTTTAATGAACCACTGCTCCAGTATTGCACACTATTTTCTTTCAAACATTGGGTTAAATAGAAGCCTCAATTTTATTTTTTTTTCTGGAATTGGCAGAATCGCAGCTACACCTATCCCATTTAATAATTATTTGATATAGTTTCTGTCCTTAGATATGGTTTCCACTATGCCAGATTTTATTCCCAATAAATTATTTTTGCAAATCATGAAGTTTGTATTCAACAGGATAAGTTTTTATTTTAAAATATATCATATAAAGAAATGTTCAGAGTCTCACACTTGTTTCCAGTGCTTAAATTAAAATATGATGTGGGCACAGCTGTGGATAAAAATTCAAGTTTCCACGTGTTTGAATTATGCAGTTTGTAATAGTATCTATTTTAATATTGTTTGTTTTGTCAACCGGTTCAATAAAATTAGATGATACATGTAAAGGAAAATAAATACATTGAAATTGAATGGCTAATCTGGAAAGATCTTTGGTGACAGAGCCATATATTCTTAAGTCAATTTAATGGACCATTAAACTTATTTGGGGTCCTTTTCGTTTCTTCTCTCTCTATAGGTTTGCCAGGCAAGAGAATGCTTCTGTTCCCTGTTATGAAAATTCCAACATATCCTGTTCCCCTTTACTCCTTTTTCAGCTAATTACTGTATTAGAAGCCTAACAACTGATTCTGATCACAATAGCAAAAAAGTGAGCATTAGGAGAAAAAAGTTGCTTTTTTAATTAAATTTCTTTTGAAAATGTTGTATGAAGCAAATTATTTGTAAAATAATTTTTCCGATCTTTTTGATTTTAACAAAAAGGCTTAGTTCATTAAAACTTGAAGATGTACTGTGAAATGTTACCTCATTCTCAATATAACTTATGCCAGCCTTCTGTGGTAGAAAGTAATAAACTTTAAAAAAAAACCTCACAGACATTTTAATTGAATCATAGCTTCTGAAGAATTTTATGGAAGCTTATTTGTGAAGGATGTATAGATAACAGATCTCTGATCACAAATAAACACTTTGTTTCAGAACCAGCCAGCGTATTGCCTGTTTTATAAATCACTTTATGTAGCAAAGCCTTAACCCAGTATTGTGCATATGCTCTGTACTGGCCATCATTTGTGTAATGAAATGGTACTTGCCCTCCCCCTCAATTTTTATAATCTATTTTGTAACAATACTTCAAAATTTATTTTGAGTTGTTTCAAAAATTGAATGTTATACAAATGATGGAAGCTGCAAATGAGCTAATATACCTATGTCCTTCCTACACTCCTGGTATGAAGCATGTGTAAAATTGGCTTAAGGCTGTCTTGCCTCCATAATCTCATATTTGGTTCTTGTGGCCTTTTTTATAGTTATCTGACATGAACCTTAACTTGCATTAGTTGCTTCCTGGTAGACAGGTTTTTAATTGATGAGTTGTAGTATTAAAACAAAAAAAAAACTCCTTTGCTGAGAACCTTTTTTCCCACTGCACAAAATGAAGAATCTGAAGCAGCAACAAGGTCCCCATGGATATCCGCTACTTAATTGTCCCAATTCTTGTTGAGTGCTGCTGTTTTTTTTTGAAAAGTGACACGTCTCACTCGTAGGCCATCATTCTTGCATCATTTGTCAAGCCTAACAGAACTTCAGATGCTTGTGTTTATATAATTGTTAACCAACATTTTTATTCCAATTCCCTTTTAATGTATATGCATGCCTTTTGTGGAAATGATATGCCACTTTTATAGGCTTTGAGAATTATTTTTAAGATCGTCCTTGATTACATCGCTTTCTTTCTAAGATTAAGGTACCAATCAGGTTTGTTTGCTGTTTATTCCTGAGAAGGACAACTTCTTAAAATCTTTTGACTATATTGGACTGTGGTAAGAATGGAAGTCAATGATAGCAGTTTATGCAGGTGTGTACAAAAAACCTGAAATTTAATTGATTCTAAATTGACCAATACTTTTAAGTGTTTCTTGATAGGAGTCTTGATGCTCGAGAAGGATAGGGACATAAACATGATAGTTCTTACCAAAGTTGTAGGTGCCTGACAAACAAAATCTGAAATATTATATATTTTCTATTGCTAAATCTCCATAATGATATTTTGTTTTTTTTTAAATGCATATGCTGCAGTTGTAAATCAGTGTAAAAACAAAATATCCATATTATAGAACCAGTCAGCACAAAAGATAACTATTAGGCCCATTTTACTTGTGCCAGCTTCTTGAACTATCCAATTAGTCCAATTGCTCTGCCTTTTCCCATAGTGTCAAATTTCTTGCATATTTATCCAGTTCCCTTTTTTAAGGTTATTAAATATTATTTCACTGCTCTGTCAAGCAGCGCATTCCAGATCATCATAACTTACTGGTTCCACACTTGTACCACCTTCTGAGAAAAGGTTTCTCCTAACTTTTCCCCTGAATGATTGATTGCCTTCTGTTTTTAATATGATATCTCCTTGTGCTCAACTCCCCTTTCAGAAATTTTTGTTTCCCATCTATTTACCTATTCCTTTCAAAATCCTAAAATTCTTAATCAAATTGCCCTTTAGTCTTCTATATTCTGGAAAATACAAGTCTAATTTATGTAACCTCTCATCATATTCTGTAACTGTTGGAGCCATAATAATATCCTCCTTAAAGTATAGTGCTTGAAATTGGACATAGTGCTCCAGCTGGGACCTAATCAGTGGTTTATAAATGTTTGGCATAACTTGCTTTGTTTCTATGCTTTGTTGTTCTTCTGTTCTGATCCCATAAGCTTTGCCTAAACAGCTTTGCTACTTATCTTGCCTCCTTCAAAATTCTGTATACTGATTCCTATCAACAAGTTCATGGCTTTTTCTGGCAAATTGATTTTTGTAAAAGAATAATTCCTGTGGAGAAATTTCCCTTTTTTGTTGTTGAACATGTAATCCAGAATTGTGGGCAGATTGCAAAAGGGACAACCACACCAGCTGCATGCAGACGACCAAAATGATTTTATTATTTCAACATCAGGGCAGCTGGAGCAACAACAGTAATTTTAGATTATTAAATTTTAATTTAAAGAAAACCATCCAAATATTACATAAAAATGTCAAAAAAATGCATGTGGACTCTGTAGAAAACAGTTGGTTATCATTTAACTTGACTGCTTTTTTTAATAGTCCTATAATTTAGGCATTGCTAACATTTAACGTCTATTTTTTTCTAATTTGCTCTGGAGTTTTGCAGGCTTTTTAAAGTTTTCTTTCCAAACCCAATTAAGTAATTCCTCCTTTTTGAGAGGCTGGTATGAAGTCTTGTCTGCCAAGAAAGAAGTATTAACGTTGAAGTTATAAGAAATGTGACAGTTTATTGACATTTACAAGCTGATGCAGAGGAGACCACATCGGGAGCAGTAGATGCAATAAATTAGGTTGAAAGAGGTGTAGGTGAATCTCTGCTGGATCTGGAAGGATTGTGAATGAGGTGCGGGTGCAGGTGTTTGTCCAAAAACAAGTTTATTGACTCCCAATGTGATCTCCTCTATATCAGGGAGACCAAACGCAGACTAGGGAACCAGTTCACAGAGCATTTGCGCTCTGCATGCACCAACCAACCTGACCTTCAGGTTGCCATCCATTTTAATTACCCTCGCCACTCCCGTAGTGACATGTCCATCTTTGGCCCCCTCCACTGTCAGTGAGGCCAAACGTAAACTGGAGGAACAACAACTGATATTTTGCCTTTGCAGCTTCCAGCCCAAGGGCCTGAATATTGACTTCACAAGCTTCAAAATCCCTCCACCCCCAGCCTTATCCCATGTCCCGCCTCCCTGACCTGACCTGACCTCACCTGTCCATCTTCCTACTCACCTATCCACTGCACCCTTCCCACTGATCAATCACAATAACCCCTTAACTGCATCCACCTATCACCATCCCACCTACCTTTCCCCAGTCCTAGCCCCCTCCCTCTATTTATGTTTGGGCTCCCCTCACCCTCCCCAGTCCTGACGAAGGGCTTTGGCCCAAAACATTGACTTTCCAGCTCCTCTGATGCTGTTTGACCTGCTGTGTTTATTGCATCTGGCTTCCAGCATCTGCAGACCTTACTGTCTCAAACTCCGAGACCAATTGATGTTGGTCAGATTCTCAATGGAGGCAATATGAAATCTATTTCTTACTTGCTCCCCTCTTTGCACCACCCAGATGTGGATTTTCTAAATACATCTGATGAAACATAAAACACAGATCTGGGGATTGTTAAGAATGTTGCTATCATAGGCTTATTCCTTTTGACATTAGAAAAGTGAAAAGTTCTTAAACAGTGCCCAACCAGTAACGGATATTGTTGAGTCTTGCCTGTGTCTAAAACTAGCATATAGAAAGTATTCCAAAAGTACTTATGGGTTCACTTTATGGGTATAATGGAATGACTTGTGTATTAATTAGTAAATATAGCTTCAGGTGTTTGAGTTTGACTCTGAAACAAATGGCAAGCAGATCCATTCCATGTAATTAAGGATTTTGAATGTCCTTATTTTTAACCAGCAAAAATCAGAATTTTTTTGCCATTTGGTAGATCTCCTATTTTTGGATCACAGAGTTCCATTCTTTTATTTCCAGACTCCATCTGACTGGGGGAGATGTTGCTCATCACCTTTGTCTTTAATCTGGACTGGCTTTGACGTACAATTAATCAAATTACCAAATAAAAACTGAAAGAACTGTAAATCCGGAACAAAACCAGAAGTTGCTGGAAAAGCTGAGCGGGTCGGGCAGTATCTGTGAAGTAAAATCAGAGTTAACGTTTTGGGTTCACTGGACCCAGAAGAGCTAACTCTTGATGTTTCTTCACAGATGCTGCCGGACCTGCTGAGCTTTTACAGCAACTTCTGGTTTTGTAATCAAATTACTACATTGATAACTTCCTTTTTGTGTCATTAGGAGATGTAGGAAGCTGCTCCGATGTGCAGCATCCAAAATACATTCCTGTACTTGGCCATCTTCCTGATGCCACTTCTGCTGTGCAAATGACAATGACAACCACTGGTGTGGGACAGGTAGATTTCCTCAACTAATATGAGGCTCCATTACCAATGGACGTGACCCCCAACACAATCATGCCTGCCACTCGGCTTCAGGCTCCAGCCTCGACCCCACGAAAAAGTTCTGGCTTGCTGTGGTTTGAGCCCCATCCTGTCCTTGGCAACATTCATCGCTTTCCATCACCTCTGTCTCAGCCTCCACAGGGCCCTGGCACTAGTCAGTCATTCCGTGATGAAATAGGTAGTGCTTCCCAGCCCATTCGGGCCCAATCTCATTTCCCCGGCTCGCCCTTCTCCAAAGTACAGATTCAAGTGACAACCGGCCAAGCACCAACGACAGCTGCCCGCTGACAACAGGGGCAAGAACAGCGATGAGTCTGGGAAAAGTGGAGAAATCCAGGTGGGTGAGAGGAGGGGATGAGTTGAATGGATCTGGGTCGGGAAGCAGGGAAGGGTTTTGTGGGTGGGGAGGGAGAGTGTGGGTGAAGGTTGTAGAGGGAGGGAATGAGTGAAAGGGTGCTTGGGAAGCGGAATTGGTGAGTAAGTGTAAGGAGGGTATTTGAGTGGAAGGGGAGAGGAGTTCATTACAGTGTGTGCATGGTTTTGGAGCTGTAGTGCTTCTCTGAGCCTTCTGTCACCATGGAGTATGGAGAACTTAGCTGAAACCTAAAGGAGTGGATAAAAAAAACATTTTAGTTCTTCAGGAACCTATTTTCATTTGTATGTGTGCAATTAACTTTCATCTATAAATGTGCAAACTTTGATACTTATATACCAAATGTTACTGTGCTGCTTTGTATTTGTTGGAGTCACATTAATTTTCAAGAGCATTTTAAATATGTATTTTGTCTGTGGAATGAGAGTGATACTAGCGAAGCCATTCTTTTGTCCCCATTCCTACATACCCTTGAGAAGGTGGTGCTGAGTTAAAATGAGGTCACCTTGGAAAAGGATTATGAAGAACTGCTGTAGTAGTCCTTTGCTTTGCTCTGCATGTAAATAATCCAGCAATATCAAGTTCTGC